GGCCTGTTGTATGAAGATTGACAATGATGAAGGTCTATTGTCCAGGAAGCTTTGGTGAAACGGGCCAGACGGCATAGCATCAAAGCGATGGCCGCCTTGTTTGACATCGGTGGATGAGATCAAGACCGAGGTCACTGGAAGAGACCGAAACAGGTCGAGGTCCACAGGTCCTCTGTCTCCAAGGAAGCACTCCCTTGGACAAGAGGTGATAGAACTTAGCGGTTAGCACAGTGTGTACTTGAAATACCCACATGCTCACTTGGACAAATTCCTCCCAAGGTCTTCTTTTGGCAAGACATGCTCCTTCATGAACCGTGGGACCGGAGTGGCCATGAAGGAAGGACATGAACGTCAAAGCACTTAACATTTGTTTGTTTTGACATGTTGGAAAGGAACAGAACAGTCCTCCTAGATGTGTCGGGAGAAGGAACGCCACTATTTGCAGCTCCTGGAGAGAACCGTCGACTCTGTTCGCTGCTCTTTACAAAGTCTGACTAGCGATGCCCGTCCTTGCTCCTAGTAGCGAGGCCAGGAGCCCCTAGTAGCGTTCTTGTTACTACTAGTAAAGCACTTGTTACTGTATGAGCTGCTCTGGCAGCCCACAATTCCAGGCATGGATTCCCATGTTCTGTCCTCGTGACTCGAGATGGCTTCCAGTTGCGAGGCTCCGAGCCGATCCTGGGCATAAGACGTCGAAAAGTTGTCCAAACTCATTGTGTCTACCATCGAATCCCTCCATAACAAGAGTTCAAATCCAAAGAACGGACAAGATTCATCTGAAAATCCTCACCAGGCCCTCGCGAGGTCGAAACACAGCAGTTCTTGTCGTTTTCCGCGCGCCGGGACGCCCAGAGTTCACGTCTCACTCTGGCCTCACGGATTCGCCCGATGCGGCCATATGAGTCGACTCCATCCAGAAAGTCTCCAGCACGCCATCCGGTGACTACGGTCGTTCAAAGACAGGCAACAAATGACGTTCCACAACAACCCCTTTTGCATTTAAGGAACTGCTGAAGAATGGAGATAGTGGAGGTACATAAGGTGTTTGTGACTGTGTATATATATATATATCGTAAAGAATGGACGACTTACAAGTGTGACTCTGCTGGTGAGAAATGATAAGATTCGTTCGGTTGCTTTTGATGTTCCCAACTTGCTCAGGATTGTGGAAGACTGAGGGTCCATGTGGATAGTGGGATTGAGGGGGAATGGTCTGGTCTGCAAAGGGAAGCTGGGGGATCTAGTAAGACCGCAAACACCACAACTGGTGGAAGCACATGTATCCAGATGCCGGTTCTTTTAAGCATTTAAGAAACCGGAGAAAACTATCATTGATTCTGCCAGAGATTTTGTGGTGCGGAAGAAAATCTGGAAGTAAACGTCACTATGTGTTCAAACTGTTTGCGCATAGATTTCCGGCACTCGGATCATGCACACACCAGCCCCAGGAAAGGTTATGCTAATTTGGTTCGCGCCACCAACTGCTATCATGATTGCAGGCCTTTTGGCATGTACCATGAAAACAATAGGTTTTAAAAACATAAGTCTTTGTAGGCTTGCCTTTCAAGCACTTCAACTTTCAATGAGAGGCACAACGTGTGCGTCCAAACCCAAGTGTATGCATGGTATTGTTCACTGTTGTTGTGCGCATGTCATGCACAAAGCTGCCTACTTTATGCGAACATCAGCACCATCAATTGTGTTTCTTACTCTTGAGATGCAAACACACGTGTTTGCAGAGCGAGTCGAGCGATGGGCTGGTTCCAACTGGACATCCTTTGGTGATGCTCACGTGTATGGGGCAGCATCATTGAGAGATTTTCTGGTGGATCTGCTGATGTCTAGAGGCATCAATGCTGCCAACGCCAAAAGTCAAGTTCGTGCTGCTCTCAAGAGTGTGTCTCGTTTTCCTTGATATGACATGCTTTGATATTGCTAGCTAAATGTCCCCATCCGATCTTCAACAATTTTAGTTAAGATCCGATGAACCGATGGACTTGTTTGAGGGTTGAATATGTTACGATGTTGGACTGATAGTAGTTAGACACATACACTCTATTTGGGCTTCTAGGCCCGCCCTCAAGCGGCAAGATGTGATTGCATCAACCAGGTCGGAAGCCACGTCGATGGGAAGCCGGTTTAGCGCGAGGGCCAATTGTTGACATAGCTGACGAGGGCGAGGATCACACTGGTATTGTTGCAGAGTTTCCCCCTGCGACTGAGATGGAAGCAGATGAATCCCAACAGCTCTCTCAGCATGCTGTTCACGGCTCGCAAAGTCATGGTAATTGTAACAGGCAGGAACAACAGGAACAACAGACAGAGATTGTGTTGTACTCCACGGAAGCACTTTCACAGTTTCGCCATGTAGATTTGGCAGAATCACGCAGAGTACCAGCAGCCAGACTTGCGAGCATCACAGAACAGGAATGTCGTAGCTTGTCTCATGCTCGACTGGCTGTGATAGCTTGTATGACTATCAAGAGAGCTGGAGAAACAAATGAACAAGAACAAACAATTGCAGGCCGACAAAAAGCAAACAAAGCGAAAACATGCTGCTGAGGTAGCGCGCTATGAGAAGCGAATCAAAGCATTCTCACAAGAGTGTGACAGCAGTTCTTTGTTGGAGCTTTCCACTTCCGGCAAAAGTGGCTAAAGGCTCAATGCCCGTTCCATCATCGATCGCGTTGGGAATCAGGAAAAACTTTGCTCTGTTGGCTGCATCTGACTTCGGCATGGTAATACTAAGAGACATTTCAGCTTCTACGATCATTTGCTCCGAGATCAGGACTGCTGCAACTATCATATTGGATATCTATTGGGCCGGAAAGCTAATGTAATACATATATATATATACATTACATGTTCCATATAATGAATAAATGTGTGTTTGAATTATTTACATGTTGTAAGTTACAAGGTGTAATGCCGTGATGTCCAAAAGGAGGCTTTGGATGGCCGCGGCGACAAGGCACAGCACATCACCCTTACGCGTGGGCCGCTTCCTGGTGAGGTTGTCGGGAAGAAGGCTGCAACTTCGTCTTCTGTGGCTGTCCCTGCACGTGGTAAGGGCAAAACTGCTGCTGCTTGTAGGGGAGGTTTGCTTGCGGCAAAGTTGAGAAGAAGGAGTCCTCTCATGTCAAAACGGAACTTGGTGCCGGTGCGGATCCATCTGCAAGTCTCCCATTCACAGCGCCAAGTGTTCAGGATGCTGATGTGATGTTTTTGCTCAGGTGAGCAGTGAACAGTGGCCCTACCGTCTCCCCCCATGTGATTTTGTGTTCTTATGTAACCCACCTTGCTGTATCGAATTGTTGCGCCTACAATTACAACCCAGCCTACCAAGCACACAAGTTCCAGCTTCATGTGTTGTTTGTTGGGTTGCTTTTGGGTTCCAGAATCGATGAAGGTACAGAGTGTGCTGCAGGACTGTACGATGTACAGTATGTGGTGTGCAGCGCGGCCGCTGTGAATCGGGATGGGATGGCGAGAGAGCTACAGTCGGTAAGACATCGACCTTAGACTTAGTGAGCAGAGCAGCAAAAGAAAAGTGTGAAATGAAACAATCAAAGGGATTCAAAGGGAAGAAAATGAATATGAAGGAATGCAGACTTTGCACTTCATAGCCTAGCTAGAGTTTAAGCCTAGCTAGAGTTCCCCGTCGACCTAGCTCTCCTCAAATCTGAAATTCCTCAAATGACTGTCCGTTCCTTTTGCCATCGCGCGACTTCTGCCAAGGTCAATTGCTCTTGGATGAGGTCAAACACATTGGATTCGCATCGGAACCGTGCGGACCTGTGCAACATTAAATCATTACAGCGGTGATCTTCCAAAACAGTGCCAAAACACTGGCTTTTGATAATTTTGTTGCATTTCTCATCAACTCCTTGAGGATTTTGGTAGCACACACGCTATACAGAGAGCTTCACCTCGAGGGGTGTTACATGACCCCTCCACTAGCAACCCAGGCTCCAATCCCAGGGATGCTACCAGCAACCCCAGCAACCCCAGGGATGCTCAGGGCTAATCCAAAAAACTGTACTGAGCAAACTTGGAACTTGATTTGCTAGCGAGCGAGGGTTATCAGGTGAGAAACATTGATATGGAAATTGAGCCGAACAGAATTATGCGTGTGGTTTTCATGATTGAGATGTGGAACTGCAGACCATCTCTTCAAGGACCCTTTGCACGGCCAAGCCCACTCAGGCCACAAGAATGTCTTCAGTATTGACACATCAAGATTGCTCAATGGTCTAGAAGCTTCTCGGTGATGCAGGTATCAACACAGAAATTGAAGCTGATCTTGAGAGAATGATGCAAGATAGCATTCGGACGCTACTGGGGGCTCCTGGCCTTACTACTAATGACAAGAAGCTATTAGAACCAAGAATTAGAATCTAATTATGCTCATGGAACCGAGGTATGAACTCAATAACAAAAGCACCTATGGAACTTCCCCAAATGGAACACCCTTTCCGGGTGCCAAAATCAGTGCCTGCATCTTTACAGCCAGTGAGACCAACAAATGCAAACGTGACCTGAGCCTGTGAAAAATGTAAGCAACAGCAAAAGCAAGGGTCAGCTTGATGGTTCTTTGATCAGGCAGGCTCACTTCGTGCAAAGGTCTCTTCTAAGCTTTAGTCCTTCCATGCCTACAAATCAGCATGGCCGGTTTGCACTCGTTGCGCTACCGTGCCGAGAGCTGCGGCAGGTCTTTACTTGTGTCATGCTCACAGCCAGCATGAGCTTGCATTCGGAATCTCTGAATGGCCAAGCAACACTTCGACTGCTTCTCATGTTGGTGTTTGTAGCCGCTGTCGAAATTCCATGTGCTATGCTCACAGCCAGCACTCTTACTGGCGGTCAGACCAAAAGTTCTATAGCGGTCAGACCGAACCATCTAATTACATGTGGCATGGATGTGCAGAACACAAGATGAACAGTTGAAACAAGGGCCCTTCTGATAAACATGATACTAGTGTTTATGAATAGTTCGGTTCTTCGAGAATCAGGAAGGCTCATTCGCGCACTGCTGGACCTTCCATGCCTACATCGTTCTGCGTTGCCCTAGAACAGTATCCAAACTTCAGGAGTGCTGTTGCAACTTTTTGCACCCCTAAGAAACCCTCGATCCACAAGGCGAGCTCGAAGTAGATTCACCGGCAGCTGGAAGGCACATGAGGTCTCGTCCGTCACCTGCACAGTCTTTCCAACACACAGCTTCGAGATCCTCAATCCCAGAATTCCGGCGCGTCAATGGTTTCATGGGCAACGAACTGGAAAAGACGATCCACTTGAGGGGTGAGACGCTTCGTACACTTGAGGGTCATGGGCAACTGGAAAAGACCACTGGTTTGGGTGGACGCAACATGCCCTTCGCTGCCCAACGACATGGCGATGGCGCTCGGACGATCGGATTTTTTAACGACCCGCCGTCGGTTTCGCTCGGGACGGTGAGTCGAAAGGTAGAGACCTCGGGTCTTTTGCACGGTCTTCTGCAAAAATGACACCCGTTCTGAACAGAACGGTAGAGTCCTCAATATGAACAGGCGCGACCTGATTGAGGAACAATGAGCCATCCAGTTGAGATACAGCCAGAAGCAAGAACAAAGCAGGGACCACGCCAGACATCCGGACATCACATCGGAAAGGCTAAAGCCCGGAAGTGATCACACCAAACGACCACGCGAAGTCGCCAGAGCCGGACCAAACGGACTCGCTGCGCCGCTCAGCGAAGGACGAAATGGATGACGAATGGAGATGTCGAGTAGCAACAATGGACTTATATGGATATGGAATGGACTTATGTGGAATGGACTATCTAAGCACAGTTGACTTATATGGACAGGACTCGTTCAACAAACTTCAAGTAGCAATACATCCAATACATCTACGAAGCAGCTTTGGACTCCACCAAGGGTGAACAGTGTTCCATACACAGCCCAGCACCACGAGGAGCACAACCTGACACACTTGTGCTACAGAACACGGTGTCCCATTTGTCTACAAGGCAAGGGATGAACAGGCCATCACCGACAAACAAACCAAATGCCCAAGGCCCAAGGTACAAGGGGAACATGACCTCCATCCGAGGAGTGGGTGATAATAGCTTGCGTCACCACTCTAGCGTCAACAACATGGAGACAGGCCTGGGAATTGTAACTCTTGCATTCACGTGCCTACCTGCAAGACGAGCGCCTTGCCTCGTTGCCAAAGTGGCCCAACTACCTGGCCCAGCGGCATGGTGCCATGTCTGAAGAAAAGCCAAAGAAGCTGAGACCTTTGAGCCATGCTTGGATCTTGAAGGCAAGTGGTTTTCATTTCAAAGATGCTGAGTCCGATCCCTCGTTCCTCGTCACCAAAACCTGTTTTGGTCGGTTTGCGAGTTGGGCTCCGTGTGTGCTGAAGCCAGAGTTGAGCTCCCTTGCGGATTTGAAGCCTCCGCCATTGCCCATGTTTTTTAATGCGTACATCTCATTTTCACACGATATGTACAGGGGTTCAAGCAATGCCTGGCACAATCCTGCAATCACTTCAGGATGACTTTCGACTGACAATTGTCAAAGCAAAGGCAACGACGTTTCGCGGCCAAACGTCGTCAGCTTGCGGCCCATAGGAGTGATACCATCAGACATTGGACAATTTTTTACAAACGCATCTAGTGCATACAATTACCTTGGCCCCAGAAGACATCTGAGAGCCACAAAACATTTTAACATCATTGACTCAAAGGGTCAGAGTTGAGAGAGAGAGGGAGAGAGAGCAAGACATAGAGACAACGAGCAAATGACCCAGCACCCCAGATCCAATCCCACCAGCAAAACGGCAACGGCTCCCAAACTGCTACGCGCGCTCAATGCAGCTACATGTGACTAATCAGACCTATGCGTAAATCAATATGTTGTCCTTAGACAACTTTGTGAGTGCAATTATGTGGAATTCCCTGAATAAAGCCTCTGAAGCGACTTGGCGGAAGGAGACTCTCAATGATGGACGATGGCACCTTGTCTTCGACGAGCGCCGCACCAGCCACGTGGAGCAGCGCGTGAGAAGATCTTCAAGAGCCCCAACCACTGAGGACGCACGACCATGTAAGCAAGCAGGTGCCACAGCAAGGGATGGGAAGGGGATGGTAGAGCAAAAAAGGAAGGATGCTACGATAAACAGAAGAAGCCAATGAAACTGCCAATGAGTTCAAAAAGCGCAAGAGACAAAAAGCTCCGCACCTTCACCCACTCCGAGAGTGTAGCGCCGCCAGAAGCTGAGCAAGTACTTCCCGTTGTTCTTTTTGAGGCCCAGCTTTTGAACTAAGCTCCCTCTTGAGTTCCTCTAAGTCCCAGCGCTTGCCTCACAAGTGGACTCGCATGGAAACACAGAGTCCAAATAGGTACTTTACACAAGAGTTCAGGTAGCGCTACTCATCGGATGCTCACGCTTGTGTGACTCTGACTCATCGGTAGCTTGCATGACTGAAGCAAGGAATATGACACCGAAGTGCATGACACCGAAGCCCCACCTGTGTCCTTCAGCTCTATGGGTGAGCTCTCCCACCCTGGCATCATTCCAGCTCCTGCGTGCTGCTCTTCTGCATCTTGGAAGTGCCACCACACTGCTGGAAGGCCATGGTCATCCGGGCGAAGTCCGATCAGCGTCAATTGAACATCTGCGCGATCACCAATAGAAAGTACCGTTCCGGGCGCCCATCCCGTGACCTTCTTGACCACATCTGGTCTGACATCAAAGGTTTTGTCTCGGGCCTGGCTTCCGGCACCCGCTGGGAAATGGTAGTTGCACTCTAAGTTGCCATCCAAGCTCTGCAGAATGGTAGTCACTTTCTCAGCAGGTGTCTCTTCGATTTCACCCTGGTGAACGGGCTGATTCCCCACGACGGTGAATTTGCCCAAAGTCTTGTGGAGGTTCGGGGACACCCCAGCGCCAGGAGCACCTTGAACGTGGAACCACAGGTCTGCAATGCTGCCCGCCATTCTCCTGTTCCCTGAATCAAGACCAAGATTTGCAATTCGGGGGTCGGCGGCAACGCCAATGCATGTCATCTTCTCATGATCTACAGCATCCTGAATCACATCCCCTGACTTGAATTTCACCTTGAACTTTGCAATCTTCTCCGCACTGGTGTCAAAGGCTAGAACTTGACCATTCCTGGTTTTGTACCTCAAAGTTGGTTGGAGATTCTGCCTCACCCACTCGCGGTCATCATGTTCAATCTCGCCATCGGACGCTGCCTCGAGCTCATCGCGTCTAGTTTCTACCATATTGGTCCGAGCAATGATTTTCAGGCTCCTCTCCAAGTCGATACCAGAGTAGAGACCGGCACCTTGCTTTCCGTTGCGATGAAACCACATCTTCACTTTCTGGTCATCTGGGTCATACTTTAAACCGATGCAAACACTTCTCATACCCTGTGAATCATCCTTGTCTACAACGACGTCACCATGTTGGAAAGCAGCGACCTTCTCCAAGGCTTCTTTGCGAATGTCAAACTTGGCATAATGTGGATATATTACGCCACTCTTGTACCCGAAGGTGCACCTCAAGTGCTTGAGCTGCAGCTCTCCTTTCTGTACTTCAGCCAGGTTGATTCTGTCCTCCGTAGCAACAAGGAGATCACTGTCCCTTGTGAAAGTCACACCAACGCCCACGGCGCCTAGGCGATAATTCTTCTGGTAACCTGTTACGAGCCATTCAACTCGCACCCAGCCACAAAGCGATGGAGCTAACTCAGGTTTGCCTCTGACTTGGCCAGCTGAAGTGCGCCATGCCACAACACGACCTTCTCCTTCTCCATCCTCCGGGGTGGTGTCTCCAGAATCCTTGTTGACAGACTGAGAAACAAGAAACTGACAGGCTGATGCAACACAAAAGCAAACAAACCAAGGTAGTGAGCACTGACAAACCATGGGTTCAACGTCAAACCAATAAATTAGGACTGGTATGGACTGGTATAGGTTTCATATGTGTAATCAATGATACCAGCAAAGACCGCAAACAAAAAGCTCACGTCAACCTACAACGGAGTCTTAAGGCAAGAGAATCAATGGTGATGGAAGTTCATTATCATCTTTCCTTTGTCGTTCGCGAAGGGAACACTTCTGGTCCTGCCTGCAATACCCCTCACACCTGCTACGTGCACCGCTGGCCTACCAAGACCCACAAAGGCCACTCAAAGATTGATCGATTGATCCAAGGATCATAGCACCAAGAAGGACCCCTTCGCACAGACATGCCCAACATCACCACATCCTCGGTCAAGATCTGGCCTTGAAGACGTTCCTGTCGCCATTGCAGAAACATTTTCCTCTCACGAAGTGGAAGTTCCTGTCCGGCATCAGGCCCATAAAGCACCTGGCGACTCCCGGAACTGGCTGAAAAAACGAAGAGCTTCGTTGTTTCGTTCTTTTTTTCCAAAAGCTTGTTGAAAGAATGAAGCAACACAGAACTACCAGGTCAGGCATGAATATCTGGTGGAAAATGAACGGCCTACAGAGCAAGAAGTCGCTTCCAGCGTGGGCCGCCCGCTTTACCTGAGCGCAGCCGGCTGCGCCGTCTGAAGCCGTGACTGGGTGGCCGGGAGCACAGAAGTTGTTCTTTCCTGGTGTCCCCCGCTAAGGGCTCTTCAGCTGGTGAGATGCTGTACACGGGCGCGGCACTGAATGACCGTATGAAAGGCGTTCGTTCTATAAGGCGAGACGGGCTTGGTCATGCATCTACAGATGGTGACTCTTGGGCATCTTGAGGTGTATCTTGAGAGCGCCAAAAGTGTTCTCAAGCTCTCCAATGCCGGCTTTACGAAGCTTCACTGCCCGGTCTTCACGGCCCAGTCTTGGGACTTTTCGGCGAAACTCACCCAAAGCTTCTCGACGTGTAGCGCGTCGCCGCGTGAAGCGTGCCGCGTGAAGGCCGCAGGTCTGCGACGGTGTCACGAAGACGAGACGCCGAAGCTTTCAACGACCGCAGATTGTGGGATGCCCGAAAACCAAAGGCCAAACTAAAGGCCTCCAAAAGGCCAGCGCTGAATCAACAGCACAGAGCAGGAAGAGATACGCCAGCACGAGAGACGGAGCGATGCACACAATGGAGGCAAAGCAATGTAGAGCGGTCAGGATTTAAACTGTAAACATGTGAAAAGAGTCTAGGAACAAGTGCATCGCTTCTAGTAACAAGTGCCTTGCTAGTAGTAACAAGAAGCTATTAGTAATTATAATTTTATTAGAATTAACTATCAAGTTGTTCACCGCCTAGGGACCTCCCCTCATCAGACTTTGCTTTGAAGCCAAGTCAGAGAGCTCAGTGGTCAGTTCTGAAGTCAAGTCTTATTAGCCCACGACAAACATCATTGAAGAAAGTACAATAGCCATCAGCAGCTAGATGCGGCAACATATTACCTGCAAGCTCCCACCCTGCCTCGTACTCAGTCTTGCCCTTGAGAATGGCAGTAGAAACGCCCATATTGCGGAGTTGAACCAGAAAGCCTTGAGCTCCATCACCAGTGTTGACCCTTTGCATCCGCGTTTGAAGGCTCGCTGCCTCGTGCTGGCTTAGGCCCAACTGCACTAATTCAGCCTCAGTCAGCTCCATCAGCTGCTCCTTGGAGTGAAAACCTTCACTTACCAGTATTTCACTGTAGGCCTCAAAGCCACACTGAATGAGATGCTCTTCAAGCTCCTTGATCATCTCTTCTTTCTCTGCGGCCTCTTTGTTCAATCTTTCATCTTCCTCTTCTACCTGTGCGACGGTGAAGATGTCACGAACTGGACTGTTGCTCTCATCGTCATTGATCTCGTCAATGGAAGCCACAAGGTCTGCAAGTCCAATTCCATTGAGAATCAGCAACAAGATGCAAATATTCTCAGCCACTGGGAATTCTGACTTCCAAACTGCCCAAGAAAGGACAGCTACCATTGCCATGCCACGCACAGCTGGCCCTATCAGCAACAGCCTCCACCAACACCCAGCATGCGATGGAAGCTTGTCATCCATGAGACGAAGGGCTGCAGGGTGAAGGCTTCCAAAGAACAGCAACACCACTGCCAGCTCTAAATTCAGCAATGCGTGCCAAAGCTTGTCGCGCAGCCTCCGCACCAACAACATGTTGAAGAGAAATGAAAGAATGTAGGACAAGATGATGGATATGATTCCTATAAGCTGCCCAGCAGGAAGGTGCATCGGCAAGGGGATCGGGCCAGACTTATAGAGAAACACAATGTTCCCGGCCAGCAGCACAGCCTCCCAAAGCTGCTTACCGCAGAGTGCAAAAGGTGAATCTTGAATGGTGACCCATCTGAAAAAATGAGAAGCGGATGCTTAAAACAAAGAGCAGCGGGCCGCTGGCCTGGATCAAGACACGCATGGCTGAGAGTGCATCCGGTAGGTCGATGTGGCGATTTTGGTCATCTGCCAACTGAGACAAACTCGCATTGCTCGCGGTGGCACCAATGGCCGCCACCTCGGCGTTTGAAGTTTGAAGGGCTTGGTCTCACGTGTTGGTATCACGTATTGGTTGGCTTGGACTGAGGCCGGCACGAAGCAGTTGCCCAACAGCTTCACAAGCACCATGGCCAAAGACATGCAGAGTGATGCCAACACGGGCACAGGCACCTTCCATCCATGATAGATGCAGAGGAGTGCCGAGTAGGCCTGCACCAACAATTGTGGAATGTCCTCGAACGTCTGAGACACCAAGCCGTACTCTTTGAGCTCGCGGATAGCAACTTGGATTTCCTGGAGTTGTCTCGGCCGATTCGCGTCGGCTCTCATGATGAGAAAGCTGCACATGACCTCTGGGTTGCTGCAAGCAAAAATGCGGGACATGTAGTACTGCAAAGGTGCCATTTTGCTGATTCCTTTGAAGAGCTTTTCACGATGAACTCGGGTGACTCGTCTGACAATGATCATGTTCACCATGCAGGAAACCGTGAGCAGGGCAGCCCCCAAGTAGCCGAGAATGTGAAGGGGCTTCTTGTCGGAATGGGCATTAGCTTGCACCGCCCACACATCCGACACAAAGTCATAGATACAAAGGACCTTGGAAACCATCATCCGCACCGCACTGTCACTGTCACTACGGCTCTTGTCATTCCTGGCTCTGAGGACGCCACACAAATGCAAGCCTCCTTGCTCACTTGTACTCGTGATGGCGCACCTCTCTGAGCATTCAATGGCTGGTAACGCGTATGCTGAGCTCCCTCCATTGGGACTCAGTTGGCGCAGGCACTCAGCTCACCTATTTGGCACAGCCCCGTGCACTGAGCCGCAGGTTGCAGCGCAGTCATTCTGTGGAAAAGACGCATGTGTCGCATGAAGAAGGGTGCACCGATGTCCGATTGCGGCGTGAAGAATCACAAATACAAGTGGCACTTGGGCTGTCTTCGAGGCGTAGCCCATGTTGGTTCACTGAACAATTTCAGTATGTATTCCGCTGATAAAATGCTAAGCTGCAGCCTTACTTGCAACAAAAAGAACTAACTCAAGCTACATTCAAGATGCTTCGCTTCTTTTGTCCAAGGCGCTTTGTCCTGAAGATTTGTTGAGGAACGTAAAGGCTTTCCTCAGTGTACAAGTCGATATATCTCACTGATACTTTGGCTGGTCGCCCAGCAAAGTCACCCGGTCAGGCACACTGCCTTGACGAAAAACAAAAAGCCCAGCCGCTTGGCAATGTGTTCTGGAAAAGCAACTGCCAAGTGCTGTCAAGTCAGGTTTAGCAGGTCAAGCAGAAGCATTTCAGTTCTGCCCATTGAGGCGCACCCCGATGCAAATCTCATCGCTGGTTCCGAACCCGGTGTGCTTCTTCCGAGAGATGTGCTCGGGCATGTGTGGTCCGTATTCAGATATACCCAGCTCAATGCACAAGACGTTCTTCTCCAAATGTCCGGACGCTCTACACCCTCTCCGACGCACATCTCTCGGACACACCACCCTCGGCGCTGCCTGCGCAGACATTGCCGATAGGCCCGGCACTTCTGCTCGTTTGGCTCACGACGTGTAAAGCTGAGCAATGCTGAACACGAGTGAGGAACAGAGCGGCACTGCTCATCACGTGGAACCTGACAATGCGAAGGCTCAGGCTCTCGGTCTTTCAAGGCATCGTGCTTCCGTAGTGCACTTAGCAAAAGGCTACATGAGTATATGATACTTTATCTAAGGCAGCATGTGGTTAAAGAAAATGGGCTTGGCATGTTGATTTCTGAAAGAAAACGCTTGTCAAAGACCGATGACCTTCTCAGCAGCTGCAGGACGATATCCTTTCACCGTCAACCACATACGTCCAGACCTTCAGATCAGCAATGTGGCTGCAACAATAGGTTTCAACAACTGCTTTGCAAACATGAAAGCTGCCAACCTTGACTGGCTGTATATTGTGCTGCATAAAGGCCTAATGAGGCCTTCACGAATCTTCAGTGAAGCTAGCTAGCTCGGCAAGCTTCCTGAGTACAGTTTCAGATGTCTTTCAACTTGGATCACAGGCCATCAGAAACGGATCCGTCCTCCAGTTCTTAGGCCTTTTCAAAGTCTGGTCAGCAAATAGAAGAGGATGATTCGAGCCTGCAAAACTCCCCAAGCATCGCGGCTGGACGACTCGGCTTGACCTTACAGAATCGAATCAGTTTAGGATCCAGTGGTAGACTTGCTGAGCAGGGCAGATCTCGGCCTTCGACGAGTCACCAAAGCGTTGAACCTGGGGAATCGGCTGAACATGCAGAAACTCAGCCGAGACCCACAGTTGACCGATGACTGAGTTGGCAGCTGCGGAGTCCGCTGGCTGCATCAAAGCTCTGCTCACCTTGTTCACCTTTCATCTTCCTGACGGAAAGCAAGATCGAAACAGAACCCAAACTCTCCAGATACAGGCCGACCATTTTTTGGAGCGCTGGTGTTTCATGATGAAAGGTACGGCTACCTACCATTCACTCCGTGCCGATGAGGTTCGAGCAGGGAATCAGAGTATGATTTTTCTCACTGCCCAGTCAAAGTGCTAAAACTGGAAACAACTTCATGTCAAGCTCAAAAATCAAGAACTATTTACATCTTAGAAAGAATATGAACAAGAAAGGAGCACCCGAAATGCGTGAGTTCAGGGCAGCGTTTTATCATGCTTTATCTCCGAGATGAAGGCCTGTTGATGGTGTCCATGCAAATGCTTCCGGAGATGGGGCAATCGACAACAACAGCGTGCACGCTTTTGTGCAAAAAAGAACAGACAACAGCATTCACAAAAAAACAGACCGTGCAACATTTAGAGGGGGCTCTTCTTATGCTCTAAAAGGCGCCTGCACGGCATCACCACCATCTCAAGACCATGGCACGGTAATTCGTAACTGGTTACTAGTAAGGCGCTTGTTCCTAGTAGCGATGCCCTTGTTACTACTAGTAAGGCACCTGTTACTACTAGCGTGGCACTTGTTACTAGTAGCTTC